CAAGTTCAGGGGGGGCATGGGGAGAGAGAGGAAAAAAAGAAAGAAATAAAGAAATATATAGGACGAAATAAAAATATAAATTAAGAAAAAATAAGGAGAAGAGCAGAGGACGACAAAGAGCAAAACTTTCAAGTTCCAAATCTATTAGATTTAATTTGCAAGCGCTTTCTGAAAATTGATTTTTGAGTGCTCGTGTAGGGTAGCTCATGTGCCTCACTTGCCATGGATAATCAACGCCAGGGGTAAACAAGTTCAGGGGGGCATGGGGAGAGAGAGAGAGGAACAACATAAATAAATAAAGACATATATAAAGAAAGAAAAATATAAATTAAGAAAAAAGAAGGAGAAGATAAGAGGAATAAAAAGAGCAATCCTCGAGTATATGCTTGTTTCGCCTGAGACAACCTCGACAAACTTCTCGAATCGCTTGAGACATCCTCGCAGAATTGCTGGCTTCGCTTGAGACATCCTTGAAACATTGCTCGTTTCGTTTGAGCCTGCCTCCCAAAATTCTTGGTTTCGCTTGAGACATCCTCACAGAATTGCTGTTTTCGCTTGAGACATCCTTAAGACACGTATCGTTTCGCTTGAGACATCCTTCAGTATATGCTTGTTTCGCTTGAGACATCCTCGAGTATATGCTTGTTTCGCTTGAGACATCATCGACAAGCTTCTCGAATCGCTCGAGACATCCTCGAGTATATGCTTGTTTCGCTTGGGACATCCTCGACAAGCTTCTCGAATCGCTTGAGACATCCTCACAGAATTACTGGTTTCGCTTGAGACATCCTTGAAACATTGCTCGTTTCGTTTGAGCCTGCCTCCCAAAATTCTTGGTTTCGCTTGAGACATCCTGAAAAACGTGTGAACGCGTCGCTTGATGTTGCTATTTCAACATAGCTTGATCTTGCTATCTCAACATAACGTTCCGAGGTGATAATGAAGTTTGGCCTCCGCGCCCCGCGCCCCCGACCAAACTCTTATTGGTCGACGATAAAAAAACTCTAACGACTTAAGGGGGGGGGGTACATTATTATCGTGGGCATGGGGTTACGAAGGACGCGATGATGATGACGATTCGGGTGATGTTGAGGATGGTGTTGATGCTGAATATGAATATGAGGCTGAGGGCGAGGATGATGATGCGGATGAGGATGCTGAGGATGAGGCTGAGGCTGAGGATGAGGATGCTGATGATGATGAAGACCAGTATGACGAAGATGGTGATTTTGATGATACTGAGGATTGTGATGCTGGTGCCGACGCTGAGGATTAGGCTCAGCATGAGGCTGAGGCTGATGGTGAGGAGGATGCTGAACATGATGCTGATGATGATGACGAGGAGAACGCGGATGCTGTTGCCCAGGTTGTTGTTGATGTTGATGATCTGGTTCAGGACCAAGGTGCTGATGATGATGACGACGCCGACGACGGCGACGATTACGACGATGATGATGATGCTGATGATGCCAACGACGATGTTGGTGATGTTGATGACGATGATCAGGCTGATGCTGACGCTGACTGTGCTGATGAGTATGACGTCGATGACGATGCTGATAATGCTGATGCTGATAATGCTGATGATGCGGCTGCTGATGCTGATGATGCTACTGAGTACGACGATGATGATGATGATGATGATGATGATGATGGTTATGCTGATGTCGGTGGATATCAATGTGATGATGATGATGCTGTTGATGATGCTGATGATGATGATGATGGTGATGATGATGATGATGATTATGTTGTTGGTGATGTTGGTGATGCTTATGCTGATGCTGCTGCTGATGATGACGACGATGTTGATGCTGATGCTGATGCGGATGATACTGATGAGGATGTTGTTGATGATGATGCTGATGATGATGCTGGCTATGGTTGTGATGGTAGTGGTAATGATGATGGTGGTGATGACGACGATGAGGAGGAGGAGGAGGAGGAGGAGGAGAAGCAATATCAGGAGGAGGATGATCATAATGATGACAAGAAGGATGCGCATGACGACGATGATAAGTGTTGTGGTGAAGCTACTGATGACGACGATGATGACGGCGACGACGACGTCGCCGTTGTTCGTGGGCCGCCTCCATTTCTTGTTCCTGCTCGCCCTCCTCTTCGTCCTCCTTGTCCTCCTCCTCGTCCTCGGCAAAGGAACAGCCTGCATGTATATTAACGTTCAGATGGATGCGCGGACTTCTTCGGTTGGCCCCAAGCCTCCCTGGCGCGCCTGGGCGCGCCAGGTAGGGTGCAGCGCCGATCTCAGAAGTCCGCGCGGACCTCTATGTCTGTAGATTAGTTTCCGCTCCACCTGCCCGTGCTTCCGCCCCCACTTCCCTTCAGCCCCCTGGATTCAGCGATCTGTCCAGTGGCTTGCGCCATTCCGTCGACCCCCAGAGGAGAAACGAAGTCCACGAGAGAGGCCTTTTGCTTCTTGCGAGCGCGAACCTTTCGAGAGGCCACTTGGGGCATCGTTTGGGCCTCTTGGGGGCCTCTT